ACACTGTGCGCGAATGCTCGTGTAAACGCGCGCCATCTATCGTAGGATAAATGTACTTCGCGGGAGTGTATTAAAAAATTAAAAAAACTTTCCAAAGTTTTATGGCAATCGTACTATGCCACAAACCTTCGCCAGAGTATATTAAACAACTTCCCAAAGTTTCACGGCAATCGGATAAACGGTGTGGTAATGCATGAAGGACACACAGACACCACACACACACACATTCATTTTTATATATATAGATTAGTATTATTAGAATATATTATTAATATAACTGAAGTACAGAGCTCCCGTTGGGATTTGGCTTGCTCCCTTGTTTATTACATACATCACCTCAGTGCAGGGTATTCACATTTATTCAAGTACTGTATTGTGCAAATTGTGGCTTCTAAAAAAAACAGAAATGTGATTTCAATTGAAACAAAGCAAGAAATCATCAGAAGGAGTGAAAGTTGACAAAAATTTCCTTGTCAAATGGGAAGAGGTTCAGGAGTTTACCAACACTCATTATCCAAACAGAGCTGATGCCAACAGGATCTCTACAATGACACCCTTGCCCGTCATTTCTGATAGGTGTTGAAAAAGAGAGAGAAACAGACCACCCTGGACATGATTTTCAAAAAGCCAACTGCCAAAAGACAAAGGATGGAACAAGAGGAGTTGACCCTGCAAGCCCCAGTATCCTCTCCTGAATCTGACTCCGATTAAAAAACAATAAAAGGAGACCTGCTGCAATGTGTGAAAAGTCTGTATCTGTATGTGTGAATAAAGTATTCCTCCACCTCCTCCTCACAACATCTCACTACACAGCATAATTGGTGACTGCTCCATTTTCATTTTTTTATGGTACAGTATGGTTATTTTATGCTGCAAAACGAATTATGTTTTAACATATATTTCTACGGGAAAATGCGTTTCGTATAACGGACTTTTCACTTAACGGACATGCACTTGAAACGGATAAATACGTTATACGAAGCACCACTGTATACTGTATAAATAAATTTGCGTCTGGCGCCATCTGTTGTGAGATTTTGTTATAAAATTT